CCGAGGAAACCACGGGCCGTAACTTGCTTTGGAAGAAGCCCCTGGTGCGCACCCAGGTCACCTCGTAAGCCGGCAACTGCCTTCGCTCACTGCCGCTGACCCAAAGGAACGTTACGCTGCTACAGCTGCCGACGCGTACCGCTCCCTTCGGAGCGACTGACGGGGCCGCTGGCCCCAGCGGGGTTACTTTTTGTGAAGTGCTGTCCCCCCAGCAGGAGGGCTCCTCTTCCTCACCCCTTCACTCTAAAGCATCCAGGTGGGAGACCGGAGCAGGGAGCGCTTACATACGTGCTGTGGGCAGATCTCTGGCCCGCTGGGACAGCGACGAGCAATCGAGGTGACCCTCAGCCGTGTCTGTGGCAAGAAGAAACACGCTGAGGGCCTGCTGTGGTAGCAGCGTCGGTAAAAGTCAGGATAGCAGAGCGTGGGAGCCAGCCAAAGGGAAGAGCAGAGAACCGAATCGTTGCGGCTCGATGTTCAGATTTAAGAACTCTCTTCCCCTCCAGAGTTCAGTAAGGGGGAAGGTCTTAGCCACCCCCCTCGGGTGACAAAGATCCTGCACCCATCTCCAGTGCGTTCTCGCCTTATAAATTCTCATGTTTGTAGGATGCTGGTCCTTATCGCCAGTACCTCCCCATCAAAAGATGGGCAAGGACCCGAAAAATCAGATGCCTGTCCAAGTCTTCAGATAGGTTGAATTTGCCATCGACAAAGGAGACTGGAGCGAAGCCCCCCTGGCGGTGGGGGCTGTACACCGAGCCCAGCCCCTCCTCACGTTCCACTTCAGCTTCGCGCTTCCATTCTCTCCCTGGTAGAACACCTGCTCTTACCAACCACAACTGCTCCACCGAGCTGGGATTATCAGATCTAAATCCCTCCCTTGCTCTGTGCTGCTCTCAACACACTTCAGGCTGTACTTAAAAAAAATAAAAAAAATATTCTGGTAATTGCTTCCCATCAGGTTGGGTTTTTTCCCCCCACTCTTCCCCAGGAGGGGGAACCCAAGCGAGCGGCAGCCCGAGCGCCACGCACTGCCTCCCTGCTCCGAACGGGACCGGGCTTACCCAAATCCGGAAGCGGTGCCGACGTTTGTAAAATGGACGCTACTTAAAGGCATTAGCGAGATGGAGCGCAGTTATCTTAACCTTGGGTGTCGGGCTTCGCTGATCCTGGCGGGCACCAGCCAAGCGGAACCATCCTTCAATCCAAGCAGTTTTACCAGCTTTTATTAGAAACACCAGCACATTTCAAGTTTCCTCTTTTTGATCACAAATATAGTTATTTTTCCTCTTTTTAAGTACACAGCATGAGACACAGCATCAGGGCTTTCCATCTTTTTTTTTTTTTTTTTTTTTTTTTTTTTTTTTTTTTTTTTTTTTTTTTTTACAGCCATTTCTTTTGGACAAGCTCTGGGTTAGTGTTCACTGACCTCACCCCAGCCCCAAATTTTGACATCTTGAATTGCTGAAGACAATTGCGTGGGCAGATGAATCCAATGGTGGTGAAAAAGATACAACAGGTAAAAGTTTGCAAGAGAAGTTTAAGCAGAGACCCTCTACCGCTAAAAAGAATGAAGTAGCGCCGCGGCGCACTACGGTTTTCACAGTACGGGGATAAAAGTGGAGATAAATCCTTTGCTCTTCTCCCCCCGTCCTCCCCCAACATCGTTCCCGTAAAAACGTTCAGGCTGGGGGAAGCGGTCACTTAATGAGAAAAGCCAAGCGTGGCCGGTGCTCCCCGCCGGAGCGGGAAAGCGTGCTGGGTTTGCTGCAAATCCCTCGCCAGTCGCACGTCATCGAGAAGCCTCGAGGTCTGAGTGATGGCGTTTGAGGCCAGCCGTGGTTTTAGCTCACACCTACGCTGGGAAAGTTTCCCTGGGCATTTTAACTCCGAGGAAGTGGGAGGAGGGGCAAGTGTCCCAGGAAGGTGAGGGCATGGGGACAGGATATTGAAGGGAACATGTACATGATTTGTTATTTTTTATTCCACAGAAAACCCTCAAATCTAGACTCAGAGTTAACAGCAGAAAAATAGTGTTAAAGTCAATAGGTTCATATTTTACGGTAGACTAAATAAATTAGCCTAGAATTAACTCAATACTCTCTATTATTTTCCTCTCTTGGTGATCCTTCTCTAAATTAATGCAGTTTTTAAAAAGCAACGGCTAGTTAATAATTTATTCCAGTTAACCCTTTATGGATGAACACCTGCAAATAGTCAATGTATGGGAACCATTCCCCTCTCCTCTCCCTCCCCGCAAAGGAAACAAGCGCTCAAGGGTGTTGTAGAACAGACGCGCTTCCCTACAATGCTCCGCGTTATCGCGCCACTCCCGTCGCTGCCCCTG